AAAAAAATTTACTTAACAACCGCATAGCAACCAATAATTTTTTATAGATATATTACCCAAAGACCTAGATTTAAACAATTATTTCTTTTCATGGGTCTGTATAATTAACTAAACTTTTGAACCAGAGTTATTTTTAGCAAAGCCGTATGTTTTGATGTTATTTGTTAAGCAGAAAAAAAAATCCATCCATGCCTGGATGGCGCAACACAAAATCCAAATGAGGTTTTCAACCAGATAATCTGGAAAAAGTGTCCAAAAAATATTTTTGTTACTAAAAAGGTACTAGATCTTGGTGTTGCTTCAGCTGTAATAAATTACAATGATGGTTTGAGAGGTTTCACAAGAATTTTTGATTATTTGCAGCTCTTGCCTGGAAGTTTTATGATCCAAGGATCGTGGAAGAAGGACGTATCAAGAGTAAAGAACACGATTAAAAATTCAACTCCAAAGCAAAAAAGGGCTAGAAGGAAAAGGAGATGTATCAGGAAGGGTTATATTGATAAGGAGAAAGAAAAAGAGGGAGTAGACTCTTATATTACAGGAAATTTTTAATTAATAAATTGTTTTTAAACTTTGAAGCTTGATTTCTCAATTGTTTGTTTTTGCCTGACTGCAATAAGCGAATCATTCATATCTTTTTAACCAGATATGCAATTGAGTTCAAATTTTCAGGGTTGTTTCTTTATAGATAGAACTGCAATAGCTTACTAGAACTAATCTTAAGCTTGTTTCCATTTGAATATATTCATATTTTACCTTTTTTTTTTGTATCAATAATTTCCGTTAAAATTGAAAAAGCTGCCATTTTAAAAATAATAATTATTTTTAGTTTTTCTAGTAAGCTTTTGTTTAATACACTATAATCTATCAGTGTTGTAAGTTTTAGCTTATAATGTCATAAAGAGGCTGAGAAAATGTTGTTTTCTTTTTTCATTGATTTTTTTGCATTTTATGCTGATTCAGCAAAAAAAAAAAGGAAATTATTTTTTTTTTATCATTTTTAATTATATTAATAAGTATGTTTCTTTTAAACTAACTTTGGTATATGATTAAGTTGGCAATCAAAAAATAATTTTTTTACCTTATAACCACCTTAATGTTAAAAAAATATCTTTTAATCTTGAAAAAAAATTGAATACTATTATCAGTAAACATTCTAAGAAAAATCAAATCATCTATTTTAAAATATGCAAACTTTCCTGCGCTTGCGTATAATAACTTTCCACTTATTTAGTAAGTCTGAAAGACCGTGCCTAGTATTAAAGGTAGCCATTCCCATCAGTTTGGTTTAAAAAAATAGCTCTACGCTCCACGCAGAATTTTTATTGAGCGAAACCATTAAACACTATAATAACAATAACACGCCTTTATATATGTGTAGTTTAGATGCAAATAAAAAGTTTTCAATACTTGCAACTGGGATTTGCTATTTGAGAAGTTCTATTTCCAAAAAAACTTCCTTTATGTGTTGTACACGCAATCACATCGCTATATCGTCCCGGTACTGCAAATATATCCTATCAGGGAGTTACCTTAAATCAATTCAGTTTGTCACAAGGGGTGTCACAATGGTTTATTTTGTTGCCATATATATATAACATCTATACTGAAAACATCTTAGATGAAATAGTCTCAGAATGTAAAGTAGGGTCAACAATATATGTCATCTATACTGGTATCATTCCATACGCAAATGATTTAATTTTGCTCCAACAATCTCTGGTAAGCAAGAACTTATTCACAGATTTTAAACATATGGAATATCAAACTTATTAGAGCAGCCGTGGCGCAGTGGTTAGATTTCTGGCTCAGAACCCAGAGGTCCGAGGTTCGACGCCAAGCCCAACAAGCGACATTGGTACGGAAGGAGGCGAGAACTTCCTGTTAAATGCTCTCCCGTGGTGCTCTATGATAAGACCGTAAGGACTTCAGGGAGCAACTAAATACATACAAAAAAAAAAAACACTGAGAAAACAGAAGTTCTGATCTCTGGTAAAAGTTCAAGTTCCAACAACATTATTCAAATTAACGTGCCAAAACTTATATATGGCCTTGAGGTATGCAACTATAACATTAGTTTTCAAAGACGCTGTTGGAAGAGCAGTTTTAAAATCATTTTTTTGTATTTCAAAGTAAGCAAAAATTACCTACATTCTTTTTTCAAAATAGAAGATGTTTCAACTACTCCTCTTCGAAATAAAGTAAACCTATTAATTAGGTTAATGAAAAATCAAACTTGCTATTCGCTGATAATTAGTCAATTACTGGCAACACTAAATAAAAAATCATTTGTAAACGAAGTGATTGCTTTATGTAAAACTTGTGGTTTGAACATCTTTTAATGCATGATAGAAGGTAAAAAAAATAAATTCACACTAACTCAAGAAGAACTGCAACCTGATACTAGTCGGTGTAGTTGTTGGCATTAAAGACAAATATTTGTAGAGTCAAGAAGTGTTCTTGACTGGCCTTAATTTAAATTGTAACTGTTTTGTAATTTTATTACTGGGTTTTTAAAAGAAAATAATAAAAATAAAAAAATAAAATTAAAAACAAAAAAACATTTAGTTTTTGACATTTTTCTGTACTTAATTAAAACTTAAAATATTACTTATGTACTTATTTGCATACATTACATCTTAAAATGTTACTAAATATTTTAACATTTTAAGAGAAATGATGAAAACCAGTTTGCAAACTCTTTTTGAATTATTTGAAAGAAAAATAATTCAAAAAAAATTTGCTTTAATTTGACGTCTTTTTGCGTCTTATCTCGCTACCAATCAAATTAGGTTGTGAAAAAAATATATGTTTGGAACGATTGTCGCTTGATTTCTTTTTTTTCTCCACATTATTTGTAAAAAAAAGAAATTGTGACTGAAGTCAGAAAAAATATATAATACTGATTTGTTACACACGTGAAACTCAATATTTTAAAAGTTTAGAAGGGATAGTCGAACCGCGTGCGTACTCACTGTCTTTAACACCCCTCCCCCTTATACGCTTTTGGGAAACCCCTCCCCCATACCAGCACACGTACTTTATGGATGGCCCCCTACTATAATATAGTATACTTATAGTTTATATTATAACTGTACATTATAATTTTTTGTAGGGAAGAAGGGTGGAATTTCTTGATGTCCACAGACGAACTAGATAGCTGATGATTTAATATATTTCTAATAAATTATCTTGGATATTTAGGGTGGTATTAGCCCATAAAAATTTAAACAGTCAAGATAATTATTTTCAATGCAATATTTGTAAAAACCTATTTGTATTAAAAAAGAATTTAGAGTAAATATAATAATTTTACCAAAAATATGCAGTTTTATTTTCAAACAAATATTTCTCAATAACTAGTCAGAATTTGAGTATAAAATTTTGCACCAAGATTAACAACATGTTGATTAAGGGATTTGAACAGAATCACTATCATAACAATAGTATTAAAATGGTGCCATTTTAAGTTAAGGTTTTTAGTTGTTATGTAAAATGTGTGCTGCCAAAATCAATATCTCAACAACAGCAAACTATAAAAAATCTCGTTTTGGTCAAATCCCTTTACAGTAATCAGATAAACAATTGGTGAACATTTTAACCATAATCCTCAAGTAGTTAAAAAGATACTCTAGTTCAAAGTTGAAAAAAAACGTTCACAGAGAAAACGCAAAGAAACAAATTAAAACAAATATAAACAATAAATATATTTAACTATAGTTTCAATAAATATCTTTAAATATCGTTTTCATAAGAAAACTAGTGTTTAAAAGAATACAGTCGAATAAACATTTTACTACATCCCACAAAATATTGTTTTTCTGGTTAGGAAGTACTTTGCAAATTTTGATTCAGGATGATAGGACATGAGAAAGAAGTAGTTTGATTATCTACATACCATTTGAAGTTGTGCTTGAATAAAATAGGCAGGTCATTTAGATATGTTTGACAATAGTTCTTTTGAATTTTCTTCTCCAATATTTTTTTTCAAGTAACAAGTTTGGAGCTGCCAAGATATCCGGATCTAACCCATACGAGTCATCTTCTGTAACAGTAAAGAAACCACATGGCATTGATTGGTTTTGAAAAAAATAACAATGCTTTTTTTCAAAGTGGTGAGCACAACGGAAATTTTAAAACTTTCAAATTTCTTTTTACCATATACATCTAACAACGACTACCAGTTTTTTTTTTTAATATTTAGCCACGAATCTGTATTTTGCTTAAAATTTTTTATAATTCAAAAGAAAATTTAATAGGATTAGTAGGGTACATGTTCTGAACGTTAATATTTATTTTTGTAATTTTTCCTGTAAATGTTGTTGAATACTATTGTTTTCATAGTTTGCATATATATTGTATTATTTATATTTGTTTTAGGAACAGTATTTTCTTTATTAAACTTTGTAGAGATGAATTTTTTGTTTTTTGAAGTACTTGTTGAAGCATTATTTAAATTATTTTTAGGAATAGCACAAATTTTTTATTCCATTACATAATTAATGTTATACTTTATGGTGGATAACTTTTTAAGATCAAGAGAAACAAGGTCAGCATTGTAAGTTTGGTTTTCTTTGACATAATTATGATCTACCAAGTAACAAGCAGCCATTTTGTAAAGGAATAGATGAAGTGGTCAAATAATGAAGAAGATTTTACATTTGACTTTAATAAAACTTAGCAATGATGTGATTCGGCACTCGTCTATATATTTATGAAAGTATATGGTTGATGAGTGCCGAAAACGGCATAAAACTTTAAGTACCGTGAAAAAGTTGTTTTTTCTCATCTAACCTTTTACTTATTTATTTATCTATTTTGTGATTATTTCACTTTATATTGATCATATATAATGGCGATACCGAAATCCTGAGCGTTGTCAAAACCGCTGAAAACAATGCTCCTCTGCAATCCGATATGGATAGAATCGTCACCTGGACTCAAAGCTGGTTGATGGAGCTCAACGTCAAGAAATGTAAAGTCATGCATTTTAGCGAATTAACACTTCTCCAAACGTTTACTCAATGAACGAGCACGACGCTAACGGCAATGTCACCAGAACTGAACTCGAATCATCAACCTGCGAAAAGGAGTTTAAATATCCAACAGCTTAAAGTATGAGAGGCCGCTGCCAAGGCTAATAAAGTTCTTGGAATGTTGAAAAACACATTCATTAGCAGAGATGTCAAAGTATGGAAACAACTTTACACCACCTATATATGCCCACATCTCGAGTTTACAGTTACTGCATGGTCCCTTTACCTTGAAAAAGACATAGACATTATAGAACTCATCCAACATCGGGCTACCAAAGTACCACACGAATTAAAGTGCTACGACTACAAGACGAGATGCATCAAACTCGGTCTCACCTCTCTACACGACAGACGTTTACGTCCAAAAATATATAATTGAAAACAATACTGATTCAGTCAGCTGGCATATTGTTCCACCTAGCATCCCTCCAAGATACGGCTATTGCAAGCGCTTTCACCGTGAAACGGATATCAACTGCCTCGTTCGTTTTAACTTTTTTAATAACCGCGTTGCTAACCCATGGAACGCATTACCAAACGAATTAGTCAGCGTCGACCGCTTCAAAGCAAAAGTCAATGAACTGTCATAATTACCACAGTGCATCATCTTCCGTGCAATTTCGCACGAGCTAGCTCGGCTAGCTGTTGATGAGCTTACAGAACAAGCCCGTTCTGAGTAATTCAACTAAAAAATAAATAAAATATAAATAAAATATAAATTAGCTTTGCCAATTGGCGTATATTCGGAAGATGCACTGGAGCGTGTAAGTAAACATAAGAAATTCTAGGCTTTAGCACGCGGCAGAAATATCAAGGTTAAATGCAATGATGAATCAGATGCACTACCTTCTAGTAAGATCAGACCCAAAAGTATCAAGCATATCTTTTAGAGAACATAAGAGCTATCGAGGAAAACCGTTACCAGATGAAGTTATTAAATTAAATGTAATGTAATAAAATACAGTTTTTTTTTTCCCCTCTATGTTTCAGCATCCTTTAAAAACCATTTTTATAAAAATATCAAGTAGAGTAATATATCAAGATAATGCGTTTGTCTTGAAGGTTCTTAAAATTGTAGAATTTTTTTTTGTACGCGTACCTTTAACGCGCGCATTATACGCGTCGAAGCTGAGCGTTAAAAAAAAAAAATTAACAAATTTGAAATCTTTGAGCCAAAAATTATTATTTTAATATATAACATTGTTTATTTACGATTTATGTCAAATTTTAATTAATTTTTGTCGTTTTTTTATCGTTCTGAGTCACTGTAAGTCGGAATAGATTTTTGATTCTATCATCTACCTTCATTTAACCCTTCTAGATCTTTTTCAATGTATATTTTTGTTTTATTGGTGGTTAAGTCATAGTCTAATTTTTCCAGTCTATACTTTTAACATTTAAAAAATTTTTAACAACAGATTAAGGTTGTTTCCTAAGGGTAAGTTAGCCTTAATCTCTTAGATAAGTTACGAGATTTACTAAACTAAGAACAATGGAGCTTGGCATCAGACAACAGCTTTTTACATAGACTTCTTGAGTAATAAAACAGGCGTTTGTTCTCAAAAGAGTTGTATTTTTTTAAAAGATAAAAATCATAACGATTATATATAGCAGCTGCACAAGAAGGCGAATGGAGTAGAATAAGGCTTGAATTGAACCCGACGAGAAGGTAAAAAAACCTCCATACATAACCTCCTAGTTAGGCATATTTATTAGCAGAGAGAAAGGACATCCGCTCAAGGACCGCCACAAAGAAAATTACGAAAAGAATCCCGGTAGTAGTAATGCTAAACAGGTTGAGTTCAAAGAAGTACGAAGTGAAAAATTTATAAAGATTATTACAGGCTCAGCCACCATAGAGCTGTACCCTTATAAAGAGATAAATGGAATTGTATGGCAATTGGCAAGAAGGCACAAACAAAAATCTGAGTAAAGGAGATATATCTATCATCCTAGACAGGAAACAATGAAACGCAGATTTAAAACTATGCCATCCTAATAGTTGAAGGGGTGGTCACCAGAATTATTGTTTAGCCTCTAAAATCGTTGCCTAGGAGGTCTTCTACACAACACTAACTAGATGCACTTGCCTAACACATCTGCCTAAGATGTGATAGGCAATTATTACTCAAACAAGAGCCCTAGAGCAAGATAGTTAGAGTTTATTATTACGGATTCAGTATAATTTACATAAATGAGTATTTGGCTTTATGAAAATCCCGGAAATTTTTTTTCTATGATAATCCCGGAAAATTATTTTATTAAAAATTGATCGCATTTAACTGACAAACCGAATTTAGATTATTTTAAAACGGAATTTAGATTAACTTTTTACAAAAAGGAATTTCTAATATTCGAAAAAGTTTGAATGAATTAAAAAGCAAAAAAAAGTTACGAAAATTGATCTTGTAAAAATTTTAATTATAGAAAACATTTGTTTAAATGCAAAAGTTGTCGTATGTAAAATTTAATGTAAAAGTATATTAATTTTTTTTCAAATTAATATCAAAAAACATCCGGAAGTTTCTGGAAAAATTAAAGGTGTTTTAAGTGAATTTCCGGAATTCTGGGAATTTTCGGAAAAAACTCATCTATGAATTTAGTAATAAAGTTATTTTATCTATATCGGGTTGTTCGTAACACTAGTACGACGATCAATGCGCACCACTTTTCTCTCTTCCAACGTCACGTGGTTAAGTATTACAAATCTTTATCGACAGTCTTAATACCTATTCTGAACTTCAAATAAGAATACAGCATTTTTTTTTACGAAAAAAGCACACAAAAATAACGCTTCAATCTATTTACAAGACTTAACGAATTAATCGTTAATGACAGAAATCATTACCAAAAATATGATAAAAATAAAACAAAGCGTATATATGATATTTTGCATATCCAATTCATAAATAGTATTGTATTTCAAAATATTTTGATTTTTCTGATTGTTAAAACGAGCACAGCAAGTTTCGATTCTCGTTAACACTGTTTGTTGATCGCACGTAATCTTCCTTAAAAATAGTCGAAGCAATAAAATTGAAACAGTCTTTTACCTCGTTTTTTTACTGACTGTCTTTTTCTTTGAACTTTTTTTAACTGGAGTCGGACTTCGTGAAGATTCGCTGTCTGATTCACTAGCTGACGAGCCAGATGAACCTGAGCTCTCGGAACTTGAAGAATCATTAGAAGAACTGCTTGAACTACCATCACTAGAGCTTGCGTCACTTGTTGACGAATCTGAACTGCTTGATACGTTTTTCTTAGTTTTCTTCTTTCGAGTTACCTTATGGTGTTTACGATCTCCTTCGTCACTAGAATGACTTTTACTGACTTTTTTAGAAACAACTTTCTTTGGTTTTATTTTGACTTTATCTTTAACCTTGAAAAAAATATACATAACAAACCCTACTTTATTAAGTAATAAAAAATAGTTTAAAAAAAACCAAAATTCCAAACCTTCTAGTCTTTACTAAATAACAAACTTTATATAGACAAACCTTTTCTATCTTAGCCTTGGTTTTCCTTTCAATTGACTCTTCTTGTTCATCTACGTCACTGGTCCTCGTGTATTTTTTGCTCTTAATTTTCTTGGAATCATTATCACTTCGACTTTCTTCATTACGCTTTTTTTTAATATCTTTTTTAAACAGTTTTTTCTTTTTATCGTTTTCACTATCAAATGAATCTTCTTTTTTGCTTTTAGTTTTTCTCTCGTCCTTTTGTTTCTTTTTCTTTTTGAAATCATCTTCGTTAGACTCGTCTTCACTTGAAGATTTTTTATATTTTTTCGGCTGACTTTTACTTTTTCTATCATCTTCTCGTGTTTTTTTAGCTTTTTCAGATTCTCCTTTTGATTTCTTAGTTTTATCATCGTCTTTTTTGACTTTAGACTTCTTTTCCGGTTTTTCTTTCTTCAGCTTTTCTAATCTTAAAAGTTCCTCAAGTTCTTGTATTCGCTTTCTTGTTTCTTCTTCCTCTCTCTTTGTTAAAGAATCATCAATTGACGGCTCTTCGGAGGATAGTGATGGTTTTCTTTTCTTTTTACTTGAAGAATGTTTTTCATCTTTTCTAAAAGTTGGAGTTTTACTGTGCGAACGTCTCTTTTTTCTCTTTGAGCTATTTTCTTCAGCGTAAGAATCAGATGTTGCGACTGGGTTTGCATTTGACGGATGATTATCAATAAAATGGTCACTGCGCAAAGACTCGCTATTGTTAATATCTGAAAGTGATACGTTATTTTCTGCTTTACTAGAATTGGAATGTTTCTTTTCAGCATCAGAGGTGTCAGATATATCCATGTCAGACCTACGATCGCTTCTTTTATGCGAATCATCAATTACGTCCTCATAATCTTCAAGAACGTGATTGTTAGTCATACTAGCATGTTTTTCATCGTACTTTGATTCTTTTGTTCGACGTTCTGAATACCCATCATATCCAAACTCACGGATAACATTATCATCATTTAAATCGGCTCGATTATCAGAACGATAAGGAAGATCAGAGTAAATTTCTTTTGCTTCCGTTCGTCTAGAGCTGTCACCAGCACGATCTTTCGGCGACCGATGACTAGGAACTTCTTGATGTGATTTTTCGCGACTAGATCTCGTAGAGATTTGATTTTCTTTCTTTTCTTTTTCTCGGCCTTGACTATGGTCGCTATCTTGATCACTATCGAGTGCAACATCTGTAGCGTCTTTTTTAGTTTTATCAACTGAATGACTTTTACTACGTTTGTGTCGCTCGTTGCTATTCGATAACTTTTGCTCCTTCGAACGTTCATTTAAATCTCTAGCGTTAGATGAACCTTCATAGGTTGAAGACAGTGTCGAATTTTCTTTTCTTGATTTTACGTCTGTAACAAATTTATTTTCTGATCGAGAGTTCTTTTCATACTCATTCTTTCTTGATTTTGAACGTCCAAATTCATCCACAGAATCTTCACGCGAGCGTCTTTCATCTCGTGACCTTTCCCGGCTTCTTTGTCGACGACTTCTTGAATTTCTGCGTTCATCATCACTATTATCCCGTTGACGCCGTTCTCGTTCTCGAGCTTCACGCTTATTCCGACGCTCAACACGTTCACGTTCTTTTTGTTTATAATATTCATCACTTTCAGTGTCACTTTCGTGTTTTTTTCTCGATCGTTCTCTACTGCCGCTTCTGCGATAACGTTCATCTTTTCTACTTCGTTTCTCTTCGCGCTCATCACTTATATGATAATCTTCTCGATTGCTTTTCCGTCGCTCAGACGATGACTTCTTTTTATCTAACTTGCTAGAGTCATCATCACTTAAACTAAAAAAGAAAAAACACAAGTTTTTATTAAAAATTTATGAAAATCTAAAATTGAAAAACTCCATCAAATTACTCAAATAAAGTATTAAAAACAAGTAAAAAAAAAACATACTCTCCTGGTTCCTTAGTTGATTCAGAATATTTTTTTCGATTGCGTTCAGGAGATTCTACTTTTTTTTTTCGATTTCGCTCGGGAGACTCTACATTCCTTTTTCGATTTCGTTCCGGAGATTCTACATTCAGTCTTCGATTTCGTTCCGGAGATTCTACATTTTGTTTTCGCGTTCGTTCAGGAGATTCAACATTTCGTTTTCGAGATCGTTCAGGAGATTCTGAATTTTTTTTTCGATTTCGTTCAGAAGATACAGAATTTCTTTTTCGATTACGTTCGGAAGATTCTGAATTTCTTTTTCGATTAGGTTCAGGAGATTCTGAAACCTTTTTTCGATTTCTTTCTGGAGAACTTGCATAATCGTCAACTAGAGTACGTTTCTTTTCTTTCTCGTCGCTTGTAAAAATATTATATTATTTTAATCTTTATATCATAAATACCATAATAATTTGATTTATACAAAAATAGTCATATTACAGCATTATTTTATTAAATAGATTAAAATTACGATAACAAAGATAAGATAAAATTATACTGATATACACGCACGCACATGGTTTCATTCACAAAAAAGTATTATACCTTTTGGTTGATTTACTTGACCTGTGTCTTTTTTCATCATCCGAACTACTATAATTTAAAACAAAAAGTATATTTATGTTAAATTATCACAATTTTTTTGACATAAAAATTTAAAATTGCAACAAAATTACAAATATTATTTTATTACTTCTGAGTATTATTCATATCTCTTTCTTACGATCAAACCCACCTCATAAGTTAGCATTTAAAACAGAACTAGCTAATAATTCTATTTAAGTCAATAGCTAGAAAATATTTCGAAATAGGTAGCAGTAAACAGGTTAAAATTATAAAAATTGATTTTGTAACTTGAACCTGTTTACTGCTTTGGCAGGTTAGTAATTATTACCCTTTTCAGTGTAGCAAATTCACAAAAGGGTTGTAAAAATCACCTTAAAAAAAAAAAAAAAAAAAAACTCCTTATTTACAAAATAACATTACTTTATTTTGTCCAAAACAAACTTCTGTTCAAATTTTTATTTATCATTTTGTAAATGAATATAATCTTAAGGTATCAAAATTAAAAACAAAGGAGTAGCTAAAATAAATATACAATTAAGGTATCAAAATTAAAAAAAAAGAAGTAGCTAAAATAAACATAAAATTTTTTCGTGTCTTAATTAGGAGTTAAAAGGATTTTATAGACGTCACATTTCGCCTAAAAAGAAAAAAAATATATATATATAAATTCTAAAGATGTCAATCTGCTGTTTGTCATTTTTATATGGGATATAAAAAAGACCATTTATTTTTAAAAATTAATTTTAATTATTTAAAAAACAAAAAAAAAAAATTTTAAGTTAAAAATTCTTTGTGGAAGCTTAACAGATAAAATTATAACTAAAAACAGATGCCAAAACAATCGTACTCAGATGCTATAACAAGTAAAAATCGGTCTACCTCTTCTTCTAAAACTAAATCCCCAGTTGAACAATTAATTGTTGTAAATGCAGCTATTAATGAGCAAAAAAAATAGAGAAAAAAGAAGAAAAAATATTATTGCCTATGGCCTTCCTGCATCTAAAAAAGCTACATTGCAAGAACAACATGAGGAGGATAAAGAACAAATGAGTAAACTATTTCATGAAATAAATGTGGAAATCATCCCAACATTCCAAAAAAGGCTAAATACGAAACAAACTGGAAAACCGGGACCAGTATTAGTGATTTTAAATGAAGATTCTGAAAGAAACCCAATTTTAGCAAAATCTAAATTATTAAGAGAAAAGCAAGATTACAAGGAGATTTTTATTTCGCCTGATTTAACTGAAGCAGAGAGAATGGAAAACTATGAGCTTAGAAAGAAACGTGACAAAATGAATGGTGAAAGAATAGCAAACTCACCCTTTAGATATGTGATCCATGGAAATGGAATTGTCAAATTTAAAATACAACTTAACACAACAACATAAAAAATTAGTAAGTTCGTTATTATTTAATGTTTTATATACGAATGCAACATCTTTAGTAAACAAAGTTGAAGAATTTAAAATCTTATGCAGTTTTAAAAATCCTCAAATAATTGCTATTACAGAAACCTGGTTTAATGAGACATCGGAAATTTATTAGGAAGGATATTCTTTGTATAAACGAAATAGGGGGGATGGGCGTAGAGGAGGAGGGGTTGGGCTATATATAGATAGCAACTTATTATCTTATGAGGTAAACGAAGGTATATTAAATAGAAGTAAAATTGAACAAATATGGATCATTATAGTTGCAAATGATAAAAAATATCTAATTGGTTCCGTGTACAAACCAAGCGAACAAGTAGATATGCTTGAAATGAGTCAAATATTCACAGAAGCTTGTAAATTAGTAGAAAAAATAATTTTGCAGATTTGTTAGTTATTGGTGATTTTAATTTTCCAAATGTAAAATGGTCGAATGGATACGTTAGTGATATTTTAGTAGGTGAAGATTCTGTTGAAAATGAATTTATTAATATTATATATGAATGTTTTTTGTACCAACACGTATCAATCCCAACCTTTCAAAATGCACAATATGTTACAAAAAATACCTTGGATCTTATTTTTGCAAAAAATAATGAACGAGTCTATCAACTTGAGTCTAACCCAGTTCTAGGAAATATAAATCATGGACATTTGGTTTTAACTTGTAAATTTAACCTTGATGCTATTGCAATGGAAAATTATCCAAAGTATAAATTTGATTACAGTAAATGTGACTATCCACAAATAAGCCTAAGTATTGATAAAATTGACTGGAATTATTTATTTGATGGGTTATCTGTTCAATTTATGTATGATCTGTTTATTGAAAAAATTAGTCAATCATGTAATGCTTTTATTCCAATAATTGACGTAAATTCAAGAAAGAAAAGAAAAAATAATCCATGGTTAACTGATGAAGTAAGTCTTCTAGTACGTTCAAAACAAAATTTGCATTATCAAAATATATCATTGAACTGGAAAGATTTGAATAAAGTAATGAAATATAAAAATATTTGCAAAACTGTGAAAATAGAATCGCGTAAAGCAAGATGTAACTATGAAAATGATCTTTTTGAAAAATCAAAGGTCAAAAAATCCGAAACTGCTATATAAATATGTGAATAGTCAAAAAACGATTAAACAAGTAATTAAAGCATTAAGAGATCAAACTGGTCGGGTAACAAATGATCAATATGAAATTGATGAAATTTTAAATAAACAATTTCAAGAAGTTTACCATCGAAAATTCTACAGAAGAGCTTCCACAAATCGAGAATTTAGGGAATAATATTATTGATGCAGTTAATATAGATTATTTTGATGTTTTAAATAGATTGAAACATGTTGATATCAATAAAACATATGGAGTTGATTCTATACATCCGTTGATTTTGAAAAATTGTGCGGATTCTGTAGCAATGCCATTAACTTTAATTTTTATAGAATCTTTTGTTAATAATGAACTACCAACTCAATGGAGAGCAGCAAATATTACACCACTATTCAAAAAGAGAGATAAATTAGAAGCTGCAAATTATAGACCAGTGTCATTGACATCAATTACTTGTAAAATTATTGAAGGTATATTCAGAGACTGCATATTTAATGAAATATAAATTAATATCGAAGTCACAACATGGTTTTGTTAAAGGAAAGTCATGTACAACAAACTTATTAGAGGCGTTGGATTATATCATATAATTTATCGATTGGTATTTCGGTAGATGAAGCACTTTTAGATTTTGTTAAAGTTTTTGATTCTGTTGCTCACAAAAGACTATAGATTAAACTATCTTCATATGGAATTAGTGGTTTATTATTAAAATGGATTAAAGCTTTTTTAAAAAACAGAATCCAAAGAATTATCCAAGGTGATGTTGTTTCTTCATGGCGCAAAGTTTTCAGTGGTGTTCTGCTAGGATCCATAATAGGGCCCTTACTATTTGTTATTTTTATTAATGATATACCAAATATATTTAAAAATAAGTCAGAATTGAATGCAGATGATACAAAAATTCTTTCAAAAGTGAATAAATGTGGAAAATAGCTTGCAAAAAGATCTGGATTGTGCAGAGGAATGGCCTAAAAAGTGGCTCTTGGGTTTTAATTCTAGTAAATGTGTTATAATGCATTATGGTATAAATAATCCGCAATTGAAATATACTTTAAATGGTGTTGAACTGAAAGATTCTGAATGCGAGAGAGATTTAGATGTATATTTTTCAACAAACTTGAAATGGAAAAAGCAAATTATATCAAGTACTTCTAAAGCAAATTCAATGATGGGTATGTTAAAGATGGCATTTTCACGAATTGATGCAAAATTGGTTAAAACATTGTATAAGGTATTTATTAGACCTCTTATTGAGTTTGCAGTACCTGTTTGGTCACCTTATTTTAAAGGAGATATATCACTTTTGGAAAAAGTTTAACACAGGATGACTAGATTAGTTTCAGCATTAAGGAAAATTAATTATAAAGAGATTGGAAATATTAGATATATCTACATTGAAAACAAGGAGGGAACATGGGAATTTAATACAAGTGTTTAAATTACTTAACAGATTTGAGAAAATTGATTTAATTAATGAAGCGAAGCTTAAAATTGATTCAATTACTAGAGGTCACAATCTTAAATATGAAAGAGAAATTGTGAACTATTTACCCCGGCATCATTTTTTATTAAATCGTACGGCCAATTTATGGAACGCTTTACCGGAAACTGTTGTTACTTCAAAAACTGACAATCAATTTTATACTAAATTAGATGAGTATAACGCCAAATCAAAGAAGTTTTAACTAAACATTTTTAATATATATCTGGATTAATGCTGTCAAAGTGAGATAAACCACACTCGCTGGATTCGTCCAGTTACAGTTTAACTACTCACTAAGATCATTCTCAGTTTTAATTTGCTCAAATTACTTGGGATATATAGATATAAGCGCAGTAGAGCGTACATAAATCTATTTACATAAATAAGGATAGGCACCATGAGTGATCTGCCTAAACCCAATCCCTTGATTGAGGATTTGTGTTTGGGCAAGTAGTCTTGCAAATGAATAGACAGTTTTTTTTTATGTTAGCAGACAGCGTTGGAATAAGAGTTTAACAAGAGTTTACTATTTATTTTTATATCAATTTTTTTTCATTCTATTTTAGCACTCTCTCAGTATTCATGACTTGAAATTAAGAATTTCTTTTTTTACAGTTTTTTTTGGAATTTGCAACACAGTTTTAATAGATTTTTGTGGAACTTGCTAGAGAACTTTTTTGAAAAAGGACTATTTCCTTGATTTTTAAATTGCAAGAATTCTTAACTAGCATTCAAAATGAGACATTCCAGCATGTTGATTATCAATTAATTTGGAATTGTTGAAACATCAAAAGGTTTCATTGATTATAAATTTATTCTGATTTGCTTGTCTCAAACATTCTGCTCCTAAAATACAATCGGTAAAATCATTTTTTATAACTTGTTCTGAAAAAACATTGCCCTCAATGAGCAATTTTGCAAATATTTGGTAATCAAGCACCTCATTTGTCAATCCCTTCCATTAATAAATATCCTTTGTCCATGCTCGATTGGCTTGTTCAAAGAGTACAACTTCTAAAACTTAAATTAGACGGTAATGTGGCAATAATCCATGGGGTTTGCCCTACTTGAACATTTTGAAGTTGTGTGATGTGTGTCATCCTAAAATTCATCATTCCAATTTTTAATGTAATCAAAAAAACTCTATTTGTCTGTAATTGATTTTCTATGCGTGAGAAAGAAAATTTAGGTTTGGCGTCTTAAAAATATTTAATATAAATAAATCACTAATATATAACAACTAAACACACAAATAAATTTAAACTTACCAACATAAAAATTAGAAACATCACACAAATAAGATGATTTAAAAATAATGTCAACTTTAATCTCTTTGTGTCAAAAGAGTTACTACTAAGGATTTTTTTGATTTGTCATTTTTAATCTGGAAGACAGTTTTTGCACCTTTTCTATCAATAACATTTATTGGCATCAAATTCAATGGTTAGCACTTATTGTCAATCTTGTAATTATCACTGCATGCCATTATGCTGCCATTGCTTTTAAAATACACAAATCATCAAAAACAAACCTTTACACCACACTTTAATATCCAGATCAGAAACTCTTTAGGTGGCTTGCATTACTGCTTCTGCAGTGTAAAAACCTATATTTTGCGTAATTTGACAACCCATGAATGCAAAGGAATTTTATTTTTGAATTTGAGCAGTAGCGGATATAAAATATGTACATGGAATTCAATCCACATATTTATATTTAACTTTGTTTATGTTTATTATTTTATCAATTACTTCTGAACTTTTAAATCTGTCTAAAATTGTGGTTTTAGGAATAGTTGGAAATAATTAGAAACACCAATTTGCAGTTTTGTATGAACTCAACAACTTTTTAAATACATCTGTGACAACTTTAAGGAAGTTTTTGCTATATTCACTATAACTGCTACAATTTTTGTCAACATATGTTACTTGTGCTTGTAACCTTTAGAACAATTGAAAAAGTTATTTCATGGCTTTAGCTGTTCCTATAAAAGCTAACCAATCAGCCCTTGGAATTTGAAAAAATAAGATTGGCAAAAAATTGTGTACCTAGAGCTGTTTTAGGATGGTGTTAGGCTGACACAAAATTTTGAAACAGGGTACAACAAATTAACAAATTTGCAAAATTTTAGCATAAAATTGACAAAAAAACAAACACCAAATTCTCCGAGGCTTCTTTCAAAAGTAAAGAAAAACATACATCAGACTATTCTGGTGATCATGGATGTTTACTACAAAAATATAACTATTATTAACTGAAAAGTCAGATCAGACTAGAGATCCTGATTTTACTCCTGAGATATCCTCAATAGACCCAGGATTACACAGACGTTCTGGCCTACAGACTACAGCAGTGGAGTCTGCTGCATGAGAAGGTAAAAAAGTTTAATATCATGACCACAAAAATGACTTGACTAAGTTCTTAGGTATGAAAAATGACCTTGTATTATGCCATGAAGTCAATGGACTAATAAATACACTCAACATTAAATACAAACCTTTAAGTAACCTTTATTGACACTTTAAAGCTAATTTTAAAGCAGTATTATTACATAAAGGGAATGAACTACCATCATTTCTATTAGGATATGCAGTTCACATAAAGTAAGCTTATGCTTAATAATTTAATTAATTGCTTATGCTTAATAATTTAATTAATTTACTACAATTGCTAACAACAGCTGATCACTGGGTATTAAAAAATAATTGTCAACTTTCTGGGAAAACAACTAACACACCAAATTTTCTGCTTTCTCTGCAAGTGGGGTAGTAGAGCAAAATCTGACCAATATGTGGGGTAGTAGAGCAAAATCTGACCAATATAAAGCAAAAAAACTATTGTGGCTCTGGATCAAGGAAAAAAAAAAGTAAAGCGCATTCAACAAGTGGAATCCAAAAAAATTTTGCTACAACCATTACACATAAAGTTGGGAACTTTGTTGGGAATTTGTCAACTTTTGTAGGGAATTTTGTAATGATAATGAACCAAGATGTCAGGCCAGATCTCAAGAGAAATTCTGAAGGCTGAGTGAGGTCAAAATAAAAGAAGGTATGTTTACTGGTCTACAGATACTTATGTAAGATAACATTTATACCAGATCCTTTGCAGTTTTAAGAATGCTCCAAATTCATAGGCATAATGACAATGGAACTCTAATGTCAGGAAAAGTGGAGTCCTGAAATATTAGCAGACTACTGGACTGTTTTGAGAGATGTCCTAGATAGAGAATATTAGTGACAGAAAAAGAAAAAAAAGAACAGTATAATAATATAAGAGGATATTTGATTCTGCCAAATAAATATTTATTTTATCATTACAGAAAACTATTATAAAGATAATTAGAAGTGTTTTGATAAGTTTTTGTAAAATTGTCTAACAAATATTAACTTAGGCAAAATATAAGAAAAGGTTTGCCAATATAATTTTAATACTAAAGCCTATTTTTTTTTTTTTAAAGAGATTTCTGTAGTCACAGTATTTTAACAAACACACACACACAAAAAAAAATTTCATCTATTAACTGTTTAGAAATTGAATTATGACTAATATATATATACATATATATATATATGTATATATATATATATATATATATATATATATATATATATATATATATATATATATATATATATATATATATATATATATACACACACACACGCACACACACACAAATATTATCTTGAATAATCATTTTACTTTTTATTTCAATAAAAAAAGGAATTTAACCAACCTTATAATAATATAAATCTTTATGCACTTACCTACTAACAGATCGATCACGCTTTCTGCTTCGATAACTTCGACTATCCTCTCGTTTATCTGAGCTGCGATCAGTTCTGATAATAGAATTAAATACTTAAATAAATTATATTAAAAACATCTACTTTCACTTTACAGAGCTCCTTCATGCTTTGAAATAATTAGCTGAACAAAAATTTTAAAAATAATATCCCATGGTCTTAACAATGATTTTTATAAAAACAATACTTTTGTAATTATATATCTCAGTTAAAGTGATTTTGTGCATTAAAAAAAAATGCATTTGTTTGAACTTAGATCATTTGTGTCTTAACTCCCTTAAAATAATTTATATTAAATTCAGTTACAAAAATTACAAAGAAATATTTTTCAGAAATATTTACAATTCTAGAATTGTTTATTAACTACTTTAATTAATTGCAGTCAATTCTCTGAACAAGAGTAAGAAAAATATTATAAAATTTTAACATTTAACAAAAAAAACATTTAAAAAACAATTCTAAGTTTATTTATTAAGATGGTTCTGCAACTAAACCTTTTCGATTCTTCACTTGAAAGAGTAAAAATGGATTGTCCATAAATTAAACAACACTTAATTTAACAAAATTAAACAAAACAAAATAGATCATAAGTTTATTATTGCATTCATTTTACTTTTTATTATTATTATTTAACTTTATTTTGTTTTTAACTATATTAAAAATTAAAACAACACTTTAAATTCAATGACACACAATTATGTGAAATTTTCATTGAATTTAAAGAAGATAAAAATTCATTGACATGCAAAAGAGCAAACGATCTTCTACTTATATTTATTAAATAAATTTAGGATTGCATAATTAATGGACAACCAGAAACACAAATTTTTACTTGAATTGTCAAACTGTGTTTCTTTTTCTGTTCTTAACACAAAATGTAAAAATTAACAATGGTAAATTAGATCATTTGATAAATATCATTATTAAATAAAATTAAACATATATGTTTTCTTTAAGTTCTATGTTTAAACATATAGAACTCATAGAGAACAAGGATATTACTGCTGAAACATTTTAAAAATACAAATTAGTATGATAAATAAAACAACCCTTGTGTCCTTTAAAAATAATGCTAGAAAATTGTTTTACTTTTTAAGTATTAAAACAAACTGTTCTACTTCCACTGATCTAAAATACTTTTTGCATTCAACAAAAACAATTATCAAAAATGTTGTTAATTAAACGATTATAAATATAAAGTTTAGCCATTTTTTTCTATAATGTGATGAACATTTTATAATAATATAGTCTACACCATACAATAATTTTTTAAAAAGTTGTTTTTTTAATTTAAAACTTTGTTTTGAAATACTGTTCTGATTTGTTAAAAATGAATTAAAAACAAACAAATTGAAAATTTAAAACAATTTTCTATTTATACGTGTGAAAAATAGTAGAGCAGTTAGAGCATTGTGAAAATTGTGAACCAGAATTAGATACTTCATGCATAATAGATGCTTTTAATATTTGTAGAAATTTCTATTAATTCAGATAAAACTAGGTATTTATATTTTGATGTTATAGCATATTTCTACTTATAAAAACAAGTAGCATAATTTCTAGCTAAAAAAATGCTTCGGCTAAGTTTGTATATCAGCAATACTAAAAGACAATAGAAAAAATTGCAACAACAACCTTATATAGGGAAGAATTGATTATTCAAATTTTAGTTAAATAATCATTAAAATAAATTTTATTAATAACCAAAAGTAACAACCCAATACAATAGTCAGAGTTGCTGTATTTGCCCTTTAATTTCTTGTATGTAATATTAACAACTTTTTTTTTTTAATGAGTAGAACAATTCACTGTCTAAACTACTTGGCTGCAACCTTTTTTGTTGCTTAGTCAACAGACTAAATACAGATTTTCCATTTTACTATTACTAATAGGAATTTTAATTTTCCATTCATTGTGATTTATCAATTAACTCATCTACAGTATTTGTTTCCTTCTTAAAAAATAAAGAGTGAAACCGACCAATAAATTTGGTGCTTTTCTTGAGATCATTTAAAAATGAAACATTAAAAATGCAAAATCATGTTCTCTGAAACATCTTTCAAGAAGACTTTAAAATCACATATTAATTACTTCTTTAGCAGTTGTTTCCTCACAGCCTACAAGCTTATTTAATTTGTTTTCTTAAAATATCAAGGGAACATCACTTGTATTTGCATTTAAAGAAACAAAGAAAACCTTTTTTTTTCATATGACTGTTTGCACCACATAAATGTTTTTTGATAACTATATCTGGTAAATAACCTTAAAATTTGACTGTAACAATAAAATTCACTTGTACTCATTTTTTGTGAGTATTTGCTGCTTTCATTAACTTTTTATTACTTGTCTTTGAATTGTTAAATCAATACCTAAAAAAATTGTATTATTTTTAAAGAAAGCTAATTTTTTATACATTTTATTTGTCTTTAAAGGGAAATTGGAAAAAGTTTTCAATTCAAATTTTTATAACTATTGTTAAACAAATAAGAAAAAACTAGTGAGCAACTATTTTTGATCATTTATATTTTGCTTCAAGAAAAAAGGAATTAGTTTTATATATTTAGTACAAAACAAACATAATATTTATTATGTACTAAATATTGCATTGGTAAATGGAACATTTAAATAATACTAAAAAATTGGATTGGTAAATGGAACCTTTAATAACACTAATAATAAAAAAAGTAGTGAATAATATTGTGGGCAGTATTATTCACTACTTTTTTTTTTGAATACCACGCCAGCCATACTAAAATGTCTGGGTTCATCCCTAAAAACAATAGTTTCAGCCTTATCTTCTTTAAGTCTTCATCTAGTTTAAAAGTTTTTTTTTTAATTAAATTTTAAACAAAAATTTAATTAAAAAAAAATCAAATTAAATACAATTGTCAGGTAAACATGGTAAGGTAAACTTTAAATAAAAATGTTTTTAAACTAAAAGTTTAACATTAATATTTTAGAGCACAACCATTTTGAATTATTGGAAATATTCAGATGTAAAAACAATGAAATTCAAAATAAAAAAAAAAATTTACCTATCTTTCTCTTTCTCTTTTGAAGTTTCTTTATCCTTTTCTCTATATATATATATATAAAAAATTAATTCTTTCACAGTAATACATAAAAGTAATTTAGTATGCATGAAGTTTTTATGCATACTAATGGGCCTTGTCTGTTGTATTGAATGACTGTTCTAGGTATACTATCTAAGTATAATATAATAACTATAAATAATACAAAAAAGATTACAAAAATTTATAAACAGTATTACAACATAATATAATATAACAACATTGACATAATTTGTTTTATATAAACAAAATATTTCACATTGTATATACATAATATATCATGCATATACAACACAATAAAATTACATAATGGTCAAGACATAAAACTAATTTTGGAACACAAGCAGATGTAACAAAAAAGTCAATTATAGAATTAATAAATTAAGGAGGCAAGCAACAATTTTTTTTTTAAAATTATTATTATCTTCGCTTCCAACAAGGCTGCAAGCAACCACTAATTAGTGTTGGAAGTTACTGGAAGAGAAAAGATGAAGACTGTAGAGCAAGATATCAATTGACAGATGAAAGATTGCAAATTATATAAATCAGGAAAGCAAGATGAAGGAAGCGAATTCCAAAGAACTGATGTTTGAGAAAAAAACTAGAGGAAGAGTTTTTAAAGCACTTAGGAACAGTATCAGAAAAAGGATGAGATTTAATTGAATGACGAGTAACACAAGAGTGAATTTTAGAATATGGCACAAGAGACGCTAGCTCTTTAGAGCAGTGCCCATTATAGTATTTGTAGAAAAGAGAAGCAACATTACGACGATGGGATAATGGTTGGAGGTTGGCAGTAAGAACAGGTTCAGTTATGTGTACAATACATTTTTGCCCCTTTTCCAAAAGAGAAAGGTCATCATTAGAAGATCCGCCCAGATATGGCAACAGTATTCCATACAAAGCCAGATTTGAGATTTATAGTGATAGAGAATAGAATTCAGAGTAAGAAAGTGCCAAGCTCGATAAAGAGATGCAACCTTAGCAGATGCTAATTTTGCAACGGATTTGAAATACGGTTTCCAAGAACAATCAGAAGTAAGAGTAAATCCTAGAAGATGAAGGGTAGATGACTCATCGAGTACATCATCGTTCATAAATATAGAAAGGTCTAAACTATTGCGATAACGATTGTCTGAAAAAAATTGAGATTTATTTAAATTAAAGTTTGCCAGCCACTGTGAGCCTCATGCTGTAGCAGAAGTGAGATCCTTTTTAAGCTCAAATGCCTCCAAACAATCAGAGAGCGTTGGCTTCTTATCATGACAAGAACAAATGGTAGCATCATCAGCGGACATTGCCACCTTAGATGTGAGAATATCTGGAAGATCATTAATCTAAATTAAAAAGAGTATAGAGCCAATGATTGAATCTTGAAGAACCCCTGAAGTTACACAATAAGAAGAAAAGCGCTGTCTATCAAGGACAATTTTTTTACTACGATTGGAAAGAAAGGATTCAATAATCTTAAAGATAAACCGTAAGAAGAAAGCGTATGGAGAAGACCAGCATAATAAACTTTATCGAAAGCTTTAGAAATGTCAAGAGCAATGACCTTAACCTCTCCACCTTTATCTAATGCACGATAGAACCTATCTGTTATTACTGTTAGCAAATCAACTCTAGAACAAGAAGATTGAAATCCATATTGATGATCAGAAAGTAAGTTATGAGATTCAAGATGAGAGATTAAGTGCTTGTCAATTAAAGATTCAAAAACCTTGCTTATGATAGGAAGAAGACTAATGGGGACAGTAGTTAGACGAATCAGATCGCTCTCCAGAATATTTAAAAATAGGGATAACAGATGCTGCTTTCCAGCATGCTGGAAAGCAAGAATCTGATAAGAACTTGTTAAATAATTTTGAAAGTATAGATGACAGCTCCGGAGAACACTTCTGCAAGAAATAACAGGTATGTTTTCTGGGCAACAAGCTGTAGAAGAGTCTAAGCAAGAAATCACTTTAGATACAGAAGCTGGAGTGATATGAATGTATGTAAACAATGCATCTTTATTTAGGTGAGGTAACAAAGTCTGAATTATACAAGAGAGGTGGAATAACAGATTTGCCCTTATTATTGATACTATTAAAGATTCTCCAGAAGTCACAAGAGCCTAATTTTTGGATGAAATACGAGATTTCATGACCTGAGAATAGCAGGCTTTGGCGTTAGACAAAACCTTTTTACAATGGTTTCTAGCAGTAATAAACAATTTAATAAAATAAATTTTATAAAATAAAACTATTTAATCTTTGGAAAACCAATGTGCTACTTGTGGCGCATAAAATTTGTACATTTTAAGTCAGCTTATACATATTTCAACAGTATAAGATTTTAGATATTTCCTTCAACTTTTTTAAAAGCTTGCTTTTGAACTAAACCCTAAAAGAATAATCCTAAGCTTTAATTTTCACTTTTCACAAAAAAATTTGATTATTTGCCTATGATTTTGAAAATACTAATTATCATTTTTTCTGCATGCTGTGAAGTTTCAAAACTATTACAAGATTATTTCATGCAGTTTAAGAACTTTTCTTTTCACAAAGTTTATTTCTTAAATAATTTTAAAACAATATTATATATCTTTTTTAGTAGTAATTCTAAACTATAAAAAGAGTTAAAAGTAATCCCAAACTATAAAAAAAGTGATAAAAGTAATTCTAAAACTATAAAAAAGAGATAAAAATAATTTCAGATGAAGTAATTCCAAACTATAAAAAGAGTTGAAAGTAATTCCAGATAAAGTAATTCAAAACTGTAAAAAGAAATTAATGTTTTTACTAAATTTTGACTTTTTTGAAGTTAAAAAAAAAAATTGATGCAAAATAATTTTTAAATACAAAGTTTATTGTTTAACTAAACATTGATAACTTTAATTGAGGTAAACGGAATAATGCAATTATGCATTATTTTATTAATAATTTAGTTTTTAAAACACAAATTTAAAAAAACTTAACAATTTTTGTAGTCTTCTACATGTTATCAGTGGTGACATATTTTTCAAAAAAAAATGGTAGTATTTAAAAAAGTGGATTTTAAATTTACTTTTAGATTAAATTAAAAAAAATTTAACATTTATAATTTAAGTATATATAAAATATAAAAATGCAAAAAATATTTTATAAAAAAAACTTCTTCACAACACCAATTTAAGATAAAGGTTTTACAGGATACTTCTTAATGGTACTGAAAGACAAACTTTGCATTATTTTAAAGTATTAAACTTCAAATAATGTTGCATAATCTGAAAGTATTAAATAAAATGCCTAACAAACAATTATAATTACATTAAAGCAAGAATATTTGGAATATGCCGAAGTGGTGTAGTGGTAAAACACTCGCTTCATAAGCGAGAGGTTCCGAGTTTGATCCCCACCACGTCCCTAGTTGTACCGCGCTCAACTTGTTTCTTCGCGCAGCAGCCTTGTTCGTCAAGGTTTGTGTTTCGGAGTTATAGAGTTGAGAGAGGGTTATAACCACTATTAAGTAGCCTCCTTGTCTGTAGTGGCCTTCTCGACCTTGAGGGGGTGAATAAAAAAAAAAAAAAAAAAAAAAAAAATTTGAAAATTTAATTTTTTACTTAAGTGCACTTAGATATCAGAAGAAATATTAAATAAAAACAAACATAGAGAAAGTAATAGTGAGTACTTTTACCTTGCTTTTTCTCGACTTCTATATTTCTCATCTCGCTCTGCTTTTTCAGCTTCTCTTCTAGCTTTTTGATGTTCTTCTTTAAATGAACTGCCTTCAGGAAAATCATCTTTTATACCAAACGCATCTCTCATCTTTAAATTTTTATTTTCATTAGCTTCAGCTATTTGATGAGAATCCATGCCTGTAATACTAAATAAAAACAATAAATCTCTACCAAATCAACATCATAATTATGATATCTTATTTTTCACAAGGTTTTTGGAATTGACAAAACAATTTTAGATAGTGAGACAGACAGTAAAATTAAATAAAAGACTTCACGAGAAACGAAAAAGATAACCTGAAGATTTAAAGTCATCATCTGATACCTATGAAAAAATTCTAATATTTTTTCATAAATTCATGCTCAGAAATATATTTATAGCCAAAATATACAGATTCTTTTGTAAGAAATATTAAGAGTAATGTTATTTGCATATTTTCAAAAATTAAACTATTTCTCCAAATAATCACAAATACACACATAAATACATAAAATAATATCACATTATAGGAACAACATCTAATCACACATCTAAATATGTGTATTAGTGTGGTTTAAAACTGTTAGGAAATATTTGAATCGTGTAGAAAGCTTTTCCAAAAAATGGTATAACATTTAGGATTTAGGGTTTGCACAAGCCCTGTTTATATCCCTCCCACACACATCACTTACTCTAAAACCTGTAACGCTAAGTAAAAACTACTTGAAGCTTGGTTATTTATATATGCTAGGTTATTTTTATTATATATGCTTATTTTTGTCGATGCTATTTGCTATTATTTAAGATATTTTTAATATATACATGGTTATTTATATATATTATATATTTTTATTATATATACTTGGTTATTTATATAACCAATTTTTAAAACTTAATGATTACTATGAAGTTTGGCCTATAATAAGTGTTATGTCCTAATATTAACACAATTGGTTAATACTTAGCATTAAGCTACTTATCTTGACTTCCCCCTCCCCCCATTAAAAAAAAATCGAGGCCATATCTTTATAGATATGACCTAGACTACATATTACCAGGTAACACAAATTTATACTAAATTATACTAATTCTTGTTTAAGTAAATTACCAAAACAAAAATATACAGAGCGCTAGCTTGCTTCACTATATATTGAATTATTAAAACTTTCTCTATTGTTTCCTGAAAGGTCCAATTAAAAGAAACAAAGGAAAGAACTTTTTTTTATAAATAATCTCATTATAAAACTTTTATATAAGCTGTTGTATAAGATAAAAGAGGAATTTTAGAACTTACTATTTTGTGATCCCATATGTTTAAATACATTTAAATTTACCAATTTAACTTTTTTTTTAATAAATCTGATTGTCTATTCAATTCTCATTTGAGATGATCTTAACATTGGATACATTAAATTCACTATAAAAGGATTTATAGTACAAATTTGTAAAACAAAGTTATTCGGTTATATGTAACCTAGATTATGTCTAATAAACTCCAACCAATTCCTAGAATTAATTGATTATGCTCCAGTGACATTAGAATTTTTTTTTAAACAATCTTTAAATAAATATATGGAGAATCGCAGCATGAATTATGGTATTTTGAATAGTATTTAATTGGAAACTATTTTGAGTCCAATTTGTATTAAGATGAATATATTTTATTCAAGTTCCTAAGTCAGCAGGTATCTGTCTTCTCTTTAGTTTAGTTTAATATTTCTGAAGCTTTAAATTGACTGCAATATGTTTTTTCAAGACAATCTTGACAAGGTCCATAGAAAAAGCATTCATGATTAATTTCAATTTAAAAAATTGAATTATCATTAAGCCTAGTTTTCCTAGATAACTTTTTGAATAAAATAGATCCAAAAAATAGGATAAAAACAAACAACACGGTTAACCAACTGCAACAACAAAATATTTTTAACAGAAAATATAACTATAAAAAGAAAAGTTATTTTAAGTTAAAAACACTAATATATACATTTTCAAAAAGATATACTACATAAAAGCATTGTACTTTTAAATAATTAAAATCAGACTATTGATCTATAATTTGAAATGAAACTAATTTACACTTTATAAACAAATAATTTTACTTAAAAAAAGAACATTAAATCAATATTATAATTGTTTGATTCATCTTGTTCTACTTCATGTTGCCAGTAATGTGCCAATCCACTGTCCTACTTATGCTCTGAATTATTAGCAATTCAATCAACTACAAAAAAATAAAATTTAAATAAGTAATGTTACAATTGTAATTGTAAGATAAAGTAAAATTATTTTTGTGTACCACAATTAAATGATAATGAAGGGCTCTAAAATGTATATGTAAAACGCATACACCAATTTGTGTCCCTGTTCAGTATAAAAACAGATCAGGAATAAGACAACCAACCATGCCTTTCTCTTTTTAAGAAATATCTTACAATTGGTTGCACTCCTTAAATAGATCAGTAAACAGGTTGGGGAGGGGGGAAGCACTGGTTTTAATAATACTTTTTTTTTGTGTTAACAACAAAAAAGTTTTTTGTTGTAAACACAAAAAGATTAAGTTTGCATTTTAATTGTTTGTCTTTTAAGATTAAAATTTCTTTTTTGTTTTGCTTTAAAGATTTAACATTTGACAACACAACTGCCAAATGTCAAATCTTAATATTGCAGACAGTAGTAGCTAATCAAAAAACTAACCTCAAAGTACTTGTTGATAAATAGAAAAATATTATATTTAACCAGAGTTGTTCACAAGACCAACAGTAGCAAAACCAAGGCTAAGAAAAAGAGTTTCAAGGCCAACGCCTACGCAAACATTTTCAAAAACAAAGACTTAAATTTTTGCCTTTAGGTGGTACCCAGCCATTATTTCTATTTTTCTTATACTACACACAATAAATACCTTTTATAAATTATTAGCATAATAGAAAAAATCTAAAATGTATTGCAAATATTTTTTTAATTTGAAAAAAATAATTGCTGACTCAGCAAAAAAACGTGAAAAAGTTTCTGTCCCAAGAACATAAATATCTTAAGATTATAACAATATTAAAAGGTTGAAATTTCTAAACAATGATGTTTATGTGACGTTTAAGAATGATACGAAGAAACTGACAGGTCTGACCCCAAAAAGATATCTGATTCCTGGCTGTTTTTTCACATTACTTATAAGTAAAACTTATTTTAAAACATGAAATTTGTGAATTTTTAAAAGATATAATATGAGAGATTAAATTAACAAAAATTGAAAAAGAATTTTTTTTTTTAGTAAGGCTTTAGTTTTTATAATGCTATTTTTACCTTGCTTGATAAATTTTTTATTATATTATAACCAGCTGATCTTTTTTATTTTTGTATAAAATTGACTTGAATTATAAAGATTATACACTACTTTGCGCTAATTTTGTATACATTGTTTTGTAGCTCAATTATTATTATTTTAAGATGATACCATGAATGTCAAAAAAATAATTTTTTTTAATGTGCAAAATGTGTCATCATATCATACTTGAACAAATTTTAAAATTCTTGCTTGCTATTCTTTAAAAAACTCATTTCTTTACCTTAAAAAATGGTTTCACCAATTTTATCTGAGTTATGAATCTGTATCATAATAACATCTTATTATCTGTTGAAGAAATATAGCTAATTTAGTTTTAATATTTTAATAGCTAATTTGGCAAACTATAACTGCATTTGCAAGAATGATACAATCACCCAAGTTTTTTGATGTGTATAAACAAACTGCTTTTGCGACTAATGAACAGTCAATCTTATTTAATAAAAATTTCTAAAAGATAATTTATCAACAACTTCACCCTGAGTGAAAATTTTTTTTTTATGATCTATTGTATAGTTTTTATGATCTAGAGGTTAATTTTAAAGGCATTAAGCATTGTAAGCAACTGGGGTAGCAGTTTAACTGGGGCCAGGTTTAATAAAAATAGCCAGAGCTAGGTTTGTGACCAGGGTTGCATAAATATTGATACATCCGAAAGTATAATTTTTTAATTCAAAGTTTATGATATATCCTATATATATACATACATGTTTATTTATATATAAACATACTCATGATTAACATGACCATCAACATCAACATGATCATCATCATGATCGTGTTGATGCTTTACCCAAAACCTTTTATTCCATTTCTCTATTATAGACAACTTTGAGTGTCTTTTTTTTCTTAACTAAGGCTTGGGGAGAAAATGTTACATATAGTATATATGTAACATTTTCTCCTTAAGTTTTCTTACTTTTTTATACTTTGTTGTTAAAAATAGCGCCTAATTTTTTTATATATATAAAATAAGCGCTCTATTTAAGTGAAAAAACTAATGGCATATATATATATATATATATATATATATATATATATATATATATATATATATATATATATATATATATATATATATATATATATATATATATATATATATATATAAGTGCGTGCTTTATCTGAAAAGTAGAAAAGTGAATGTTATCATTAATTTACGATATTTTATTTACACAAATCATTTCTAGTCTACACTTAGCCTTATAAGGAAAAATGACTAGAATATGTAAAAACTCTAATAAATGCTAAAATTTTTATGAAAAATAAAATGTTGGCAGGCAACCTAAATTAACGAACTGGTTACTTACAGTTGCCCTTCTGGCAACCGACCAAAAATTCCAGTCTAAACCCCTGTATGTATATATATACAGGGCTCAAAATAAACTCCGGACATTGTCCCACACTTGTCTGGTAAAAAACAACATCTATTATTCATTATGTCCAACATATTTTATGTGCTTTTATTTTCTTATCATTTTAGTTGTTCCAAAATCATTAATAAATTCAATATTGTATATAAACTTTATTTTTAATACAAAACAAAATTAAAGTTAAACACAGGGCTACATTAATAAAATACATCATTTTTTTGAGTTACTTTATTTTTAAAAGATGGTAAAGAATATTTTTTTTTTTAATTTAAAAAGCCCGGTTTTTATCATTCATATTAAAACATTGCAATTAGTTATAAATTTAAATTTAAGTTAAGTATTTTTTTTTTGTCAGATGGTTTTTATGAACTTCAAACAAATATTTTAGCTTTCAAAAAACCTTTTAAATTAATTTTACAAAAATTTTAAAGTAAAAGTTATTTTAATGCTTATAGAAACCAGTGTTTTTATTACACTATTAAATTTGAGTCGTTATGTAACGTTTGTTTTTGCGCTAAAAATTTTCGCCAATAAAAATGCTTATAAAATAATTCCTAGAAAAATTTTGAAAAGATTTATAAAAAAATACACATTTATGCAAATGTAATTACGTATAATATTCTTTAAAAATTTAAATAAAATGGGTTAATGTAAACATAATTTGTTACTTAATTTAATTAAGTAATAAGTAAACTTAATAATTTATGTATTTAATATATTTACATTGTAATTGATGTTGTATTTAATAATTTTGAATTTTGTTAAACATTTTTATTAATTATTTAATTATGTATTTAATAATTACATAATTTATGTATTTAATAATTTACAAAGCATTTTACATAGTACAGTATTTTTAAGAAAATGTAATATAAATATATTTTGCTTTTCAAATTCAAGTTTTTTTTTACTTTTTCTTTAAGATTTTCTTTTTGTTAGATAATTTTAGTCTTTATCGGACAAATTTGTCTGTTAGAAAAATATATATATACACAACAGGGTGTTAACCAGGAATAAATTTGATACAGCATTTTGACGAAACTGGGAACTCCCTCGAGATTAAAATGTATTACAGGGATGCATGGGATCCTTTTCTTAAATTCTTTCTTCTCCTACTCCACTTCAGCACTGTATACATTGACTGGATAACACAAACAAAATATCGTCTGCAACATTTGTTGAAGATGAATATAAAATCAACACAAAATTCAAAGTGTTTCACAACGAAACAAAATATTAAGCCTCTTAACTTAGTATTATAAAATAATCACTGTATATTAACTAATTATTATTAAGAATAATATCTTTGATTTATTTGTAATCTTAATATAACATTGCCGCTTTAAGTTTAAAAGTATTCTTTTAAATATGGTGGGCCATAAAGGGTGATTTTTAAAGTAATATCGGGATTTATATTCTATAAAAATCTCTGCGGAAGAGAGCCAATGATCTTCTACTCCTAATTATAATATAAATTTTGATTGATGCCCTTTTTGAACAAACCCCCACACCATCATGTAATAAACTGAGCCATCAAAAGAAATGTTTTAAAAATAAAAAAAATTAAAAAAGGTTTGCAAAGAAGTAAACACGAGCTTGTAAATTTCATATTTCACTTTTGAATCACAAATGAATTTTAAAAACAATTTGCAGAGAAAATCCCAAAAATTGCTTAGAAAATCCCAATTCTTAAGTTAGACAATCGCATAGTTATACCAATAACAGTGATCTTATTTCAAGTTTTACACAAATAATTAAATTAGAATTTCTATTGTTATTTTTCTATCAATTTTTAATAACAATTAATTTACAATAATTTTTAGAGTTATTATTTAACTTCACCTATAAATTGGGAATTTTAATTTTATGAGCATTTGGAAATACGACATTTGACAGGGCCCCACAGGGCTAGTTTACACCCTGATATATAGAGTATTATAAATTCTTTCACAGCACTGGCTATCAGCCCATGCTAAATCTTATCATTTTGCGGTGCTGGGTTGGCAAAAAGTCCTATTTAGCCGGGCCATGGTCACTTACTAATAAGTCACTGAGTTTTTTTTAAACTATGAAACTTTATGAATTAATCAATGGTCTTTAAACATTTCATGAAGAAAAAAATTACTAACAAATTTAGTTGGTTTTAAGAAATACTTTTCATCTAGATCCTAGCAGTAAATAAGGTTTATTAGCAATTTATCATGCAAGGTTTATTGCACCTGCTCATTAACAAAACCTGTTATACACATTACCTTGTGTTAACCTTATTTAAAAAATTTATGAATTGCAAATCCATTAATTTTTTAATTATTGATTATAGCTGTTTTACAAAAACACATTTTATACTCTTTATACTATTATACATTTTATACTTTATACTCTTTATACTTATAATTTTATCCTAAAAAACACATTTTATACTCTTTATACTTATAATTTTATCCTAAAAAACACATTTTATACTCTTTATACTTATAATTTTATCCTAAAAAACACATTTTATACTCTTTATACTATTATACATTTTATACTTTATACTCTTTATACTTATAATTTTATCCTAAAAAACACATTTTATACTCTTTATACTTATAATTTTATCCTAAAAAACACATTTTATACTCTTTATACTTATAATTTTATCCTAAAAAACTATTAAATCTTAAAAAGTGGTATTTTATCAATTTTATTTATTTGTGAAAATAAGATGCTTCACTCAATTATGCCTGTATATTAAATACATTTCCTATTCTAATTTGCAGTCAACTTAGCAGTCAAGCTCAAATTATTTGCAATTTTTAAACAGTGTTTACGGTAGACCAATAAAAAATATTTCTAACTAGAGTTTAGAGAGCCTTTTAGGAGAAGCAGAAGGGTGTAATAATGTACTCCAACTTTTACTTTTTAAAAAAACTTTTATTCTCTATCCTTTGGCTAATTATCTTGAAAAAATAACATAGAACTTGATTAGCTAGTTAGACATAAGATGTGTTTTACTTTAAGTATTAAACCATTGGACTTTAGTGCTGAGTATTCCAAAAAATGACCAATGGATCATATTCTCTTACCTTGTTACAACACCAATCTTTGTCAGACCTTCTTTTTCAAGCAGCTCATGCCGAAGTTCCTCAATTTTGACCTGAATTTCTTCACTAGTTAAACTAAATAAAAATAAAAACAATTAAAACTTTAAACAGTTAAAAAAAATTTTATACTTTTATTTTTATAAACCTTTAAAATAAACTCCTCTAATAAACATAGCTCTTTCTTCTCCATAGAAAAAAATTAGCATTTAAATATTTAACACTTAGACACTTTTTTTAAAAAACAAAATATCACTTTTTTTAATATACATTTTTTAAATCTAAATATATTAATATGATATATCTTCATAAATTATTCTTATTGTTTTTTTTTTTGAAAGTTCTATAGATTAAGATCGTGTTTTGCCTAAATTTTTTTTATTTAATATAGACTATCAGTCTATTTGTCTGTAATTATAGAGTCTTCACAACAACACATAATATATAGAGTTGATGATTCCTTTTCAAATGCAAACTGTTCACATACATAAGCACTTGACATGACTAGGTAATTTTTTAACAATAAGAATTAATTTTTTAATTACATTTAGTCAAAATATAAGAAAAAAATTTTATAACTTTTTTTTATCAGCACTAATTATCTATGATTTTTTTCTTATCTATTTCTTAATGTTAATTTTACCTTATTATTTTTAGATATTTTTCTAATATCTAATTTTGGTGCAAATGAGTGATGTGGTTTAATATATTTGATGTTGTTAGGTGGTTAAGTATTAGTATTTATAAAATAATATACAAGCAAAATTTAATTTACAATATGTAACTTATAGAAGTTTATTGAACTTAGTATTATTTGGATTACTATTATTTGTAATTGACAAATAGCCATTGTATAAATGTAGTTGATAAATGGCAGGCTTGGTCGGGAAACAGGAGCGATCGCTCTCAAATACTGAACACGGAAATTATTTAGTTGCGAAAAACTGGCCAGGTTTTTTAGTCGTTTTGAGAACATTTAAGTTTATGTATAAAACAAAAAATTTTTGTTTTACGGACATACATGGAAACATAAAAAACCTTAATGTTTTAAAAACATTTTGGTGCGAAAGAATAAAAAGAATATTCACGAACACTAAAAACCTGCCAAATTAACGAAGAAACAAATTTTATTGGTTCAAATAGAAAAAAATAAAAATAAAAATTGAATTCAGGTTAATAAATAAATTTTTGAAAAGAACCTTTTTCAACCTATTACACCTCCTAACATCGAGTGCAATCCTGTCCGCTTTCTTTATGCTATCTTTCTAACACGACTACTTCTGTCTTTCACTCTAACATATCTTTGTTCTTCCTAAACTCACTTTACTCTTGGTCCGTAGAGCGGGTTATGATGCTCCTTGGGCAGGCGAACCTGTCTTTGCGGGCCTTGGTAATGTGGCCTCTATATGGCAATTAGCTGGAGGAGGATAAACCACAATACCAATTCTATTGGTTCAAAAAATAGCTAACTAAGCGAAATTAAGTTTCTAAGTAACTAAGTAAAGCGAAATTAAGTTTCTAAGTAACTAAGTAACTAAGTAACTAAGTAATCAAGTAACTAAGCGAAATTAAGAGTATTCTGTTGAAAAGTTTTAAAAATTGTATTATTCACGATTTGTTACGTTTTGAGATTTCTAGCATAAATTGTTTTCAGAATATATATTAATTTTTTACAAAAATAAATGTTTTAAATATATATTAATTAAATTGTGAAAATTTTAAAAGTTTATTATAAATTATACATTTTATTAGCATATTTTTATTTTTTATTTAAAAAGTATGTATTCTTTATGTGTATTGTAATTTTGTGTATCTGTTTTTTATCGTTATGTATATTTTAAAGCAATTTTTAGGATTTAAACAAAGACTTACAAAAATAATTGTGTTTTCAATAAAGTTATAATCATTAAAGTTAATAAAACTAATTATGTAACAAACATGTAAGAAGTTTCTGGTTACTAAACACAAACAACGCATACAAAGTAACTCGCGGAGGAACAAGCACCGCACCTGAGGTCACGACAGAACACAAATATACATATAGCAAATAATTAGATATAAAAAAAAATTTCTAGATATTGGTTTACTAACTCTAATTATTCTCGCTTAAATTGCTATTCTTAAAACTCGTTATACTTTTTTCTGCTTTAAATACTAATTAAAATTAAAAAGACCACTTACTAAACATCATCAGCGATATTGTGAAGCAGTTTCCCTTCCTCATCATAAAGTATTTTTAACCTTTTTAGTTGATTTCTATCTTGTTAATTTAATTTCTATAGTAATTCAATGATTTAATTATTTCATTTGTTTATCTTACTAAGAAGAATTGCTTCAAATATGTTAAACTTTTTAAACTACGCGAAACATAAAATAGGTATTAAAAAAAAAAACTTTTTTCATTTATAAAACAGTTTACCTTAAATAGAACTAAAACTTGCAAACTTTGTTAAATAAAGAATATTTGTTCCTTTTTAAACAATCGTAAGATGTTACTTTATATAAAAAACATCGCTTAATTTTATTAAAAAAATTTATAAAAGAGCAATGTTTCGAAAATATTTGTTCTAAACGTAATTTATTTAGCTTTAAGTTTTTTCGCGTATAAAGATTTTTTTTTTTGAAATTGTCTCTCATCGGTCCAATTAATCTTCAGCGCTTTTTTTTTTTTTTTTTTAAATGTTCTAAAAACGACTGAAAAATCTGGCCAGCTTATCGCAACTAAATATTATTTACGCGGTCAGCAATCGACAGCGATCGCTCCCGCTTCCCGACCAAGCCTGAAATGGCCATTTTTAGTTGAAAAATGGCCATGTCGTTGACAAATAGCTCATTGTAGTTGACAAATAGCCAAATTGTGATGACAGAGGACAAAAATCAATAAAAGAAAATATCATGTTTTAATATACAATTAATTAATATACAATAACAATGTAATTAGGTAATTGTTATTGTATATTAATTGAATAAAAAATTAATATACAATAACAATTAAAAAATTAATAATCAATTTTTTAAATAAGGTTAACACAAGGTAATGTGTATTTAATAGAACTTCTTTGATTTACCTTATTTGAAAGACAAAACAAATTTAAGATTTTAATGGATAAAAACTTTTTTTACATACTAAAAAAAGGTCACAAGAACAAACTTAAGATAAATAACATTGAATGAGAATAAAGAAAATTTGTTGCTTTTTTTTATATAACTTAAATCTTTAAGAGAAGAAAAAGTGTTTGTTGAATTTTTTTTTTTGCTTTTAACAAAACAATAAATTTTATTACTAAGTAATAATTATAAAGTTTTGCAAGAATAAATTATTTTAAACTTATTTTAATTTTAAGTGGAATAAAATTCAAAAACACATCAGTGTTTTTGAATTCTATCCCACTTTCATGCTTTCAAGTTATCCTGAATAATAGATTTTACAGTTTTTTAAATCTTCTGTTATCCGCTTACAATTTTGCCTTTGCACTTTAACTTTAAAGCATTACTACAGGTATTGAAGCTTTTACAAACACAGCTTTAATTTATAGAGTAAAACTATTTAAAAATCGTATTATTGAAAATTTTATTTGTTGTTGTATTTTAGAACAATTTGTCATTTGTATAGTAACAACACTTAAGAACTTCCTCATAAGTTGGAAGTTTATTACAGATAACTCCATAAGAAGGAACTTCCGCATAAGTTAAAAGTTTATTACAGATAACTCCAGTTAGTCAATTTAAAAAAAAACAGCTACGTGTAGCAGTGGCTAAAATTATCACTGAAATAAAAACAAAAATAAATCAAAAAAAGCTGTTATAACAGGAAACACACCATATTGCAGTGCAAAGCAAGTATAGCCTAAGGAAAATTTAATGCGCACTGCATGTTGACTCAATATGACACATCTCAGTTGCACCAATTTAAGGATTTAAAAATGTTTTTTTGCCACATTAGATTTAATAATATTTTAGTAAGTTTTTTGAATATACTTTATTTAATTAATGCTTATTTATCTATTTAATTAATGCTTATTAGAAAAAAGATAAAAAGTGAATATTTATTTAAATGTTTAAGTGTGATAATCTAGCTCTAGATGTAAAATATTTATATTACTTTTTTGGAATTTTCCTTATATACATAGAGGCTAGTTTTTTGAAAAAAGAACTAATATTCAATTCAGGCCTTGTTTCAAAGCGTTACATCTAGACCGATTTACCTACGACTTAAGCGATTTTGATGTACACGTAGAGCAGTTTTGATTAAGCAACTTTTTATCATTTTTTAACTTTTAAATTAGCTTTAACATAAAAGAAATAACTAATATTTAAAAAAACTACATTAACTTTTGAATAACGATATGGAAAAATATTTGTTACAAAAAAGAAGTTACGTTAAAAATAATTATAGTAACTTTTCATCGCGATAATTTTATCTTACTTTTTTATAGCAATTAATTTTATGCTAAACTTTATATATAAAATATTTAGCAACAAGAAAAAAAGTTCGTCAATCCTCAAAACAAATTTATTGCAAATGTTTTTAATAAAAAGTAGTAATTTTTTTAAAGTTTTTAGTAAGAAACTTTAAAATAATCTATATTCCAAATTCATTAATACAGAATATAAAAGTTTTTTGCAATATAGATTTTTTTTAGAGTTTTTACTAAATTTTTATTAAAAACATTTGCAAAAAATTTATAGTTAACGATTCTTTTTTTTTAACATCTCAAAAAAATGTCTTATTATTTTTGTTATCATGATAACAAAAATATCAAGACATTTTTTATAGATATTAAAAAAAATGTACCAATGAATGAACAATCTTTTTTTATTGTACTAAAAATTACTTCTTCATTAAGTATTACTCGTTGCTTTTCTTCTTAGTTTAAGGTACCTTTAAGTTATGTGGGGGAAGGGGAACTGGCATAGAAGAAAAAAATTACCTGTTACTCGCAATTTTTGAATGAAGACAATTTGTTAAATTTCTTTTCCATGCAATTCAATAAGAATTCAATAAGCTTTTTTTCTTTCTTTCATAAATCAAGTTACACCATTAAGTTAAAGAAATCATGAGTAAACATCCGCTGATGACACTATTACGTTGAATATATTAATCAAACGGAGGTTTCATTATGCGCGCGCACATTAGAGACTCCATTAAATAAATATTAAGGCACGTTTTAGTTTAATGACAGTCTCTATTTGTTACTAATGACTATGTATTTTTCTATATAAAATAAGACAAACTAGTATATAAAAACCTAGTATATTTCCATTCTCTCCAAATTGTTTAAAGTTCGAATATGGATTGTATTTTGAAGGACAAAAGATTTACTTTAAAAAATTTTAAATCCTGGGACTTTGCCGATGCTTTTCAAATTTAAACTATCACAGAAAAGAGGACTTACATTATTAAAATCAAATGTAAGTTATGTGATCTTTATCTAAATATAGTATTATCTAAAACCAATGGTGCCGTATGGGTAGCTGTCCTAAAGTTTATAAATAACACAAGTCATGTTGAAATATTTTAACATGTTGGTATATTTTATTTAAGTTGGTATATAAATAAAAATATTGTTCAATAAATTAATTAAATTTGTTCTTAACAAAGATAACCTTATATTAATTCTTTTTTATTTTATTATTCTTAACTCAATTGCTTACAAACAACAACAAAAAAAGAGTTTTGTAATTATACATAAAATGAAAATACTTTTGCGTTTGTTTTTAAGTTAAGGAACTAAATTTTTAATGAACAAATTTTAACGAACGTTTATTATAAACACATAAGATATAAATTATTATATATACTTATTTTGTTTTATTTGAGTATTTTTTTAAGTTTGCACAATTAAAGTATTGCATAGAAGTATTAAAAAAGTTTTTTGTTTCAAAAATAGTTAACAAATAAGTTTACATAATTAAGACTTTTATAATTAATTTAATTTTTTTTTTTTAATTTCATAAAATTCAAAAAAAAAATAAAAAAAAATAAAAAAATCGTTAAAATCGATTTTGCTCTAGAGCTCTGTGTTTCTTTGTGATTTACAAAGTAAAACATTTTTATGATAACGTAAAACATTTATGAATTAAATTCCGGGTGATCGCATTTAAATTACGTATCAAAAATATGCTTAAAGTAGACATGAAAAAAATACTTAAAAACCTAAATTATTCTTTGCTAGTCAAAACAAAATCGCTGTTTAAATAATTAACAAGGGTTTTTGTTTATCAATATGTTAATTTTTTTTTTTACTCCAGAAATTTTTAAAAATTAAAAATCATTATAATGATTTAAGAACAATAATTATTCAAAAACAAATTTCAGAAATAATTAATATATATATTTTTTTACAAAATAATATTGAACTAAAATTAATATTAGAATAACAATTGAAAACATAACAAACATTGTATAATATATTTACATTTAAAAAGTTTATAGTTATTTGAGTTAATTGTTAAATTGAACTATGTAGCGGTAATTTATTTATTGCTGTAATTAAAACACTTAACGCCTATAAAAAAAAAAAAAATAAAGAGTTTTATGACGTCAAATATCACGTTAAGCTAATGCATTAAGCACTTTTTTTAATTTAAAAACAAGGCCTGCAATTAATAAAATACTTAAAGCAATAAAAAAATAATAATAATACATAACTGTAGAACTAAGTCAAAACTTTTTGTAACATAATTTTTAAATGTTATAAATATGTCAAATATTAAAAACAATAAATAAAAACCATTTACAGACAAATATCAGCATTTTAAAATCTTCACAAATATTTTAAAATGCTGAAATGTTATGAATTTTAATGTACTCTTAAATTTTTAGTGCAAGATTAGTGCAAAAGTAGACATTTTATCCAACATTTGAGCAAAATTACAGATTATATAGCAGATTATACACAAGGTAAGTAGCAAATTACACTGGTCAACAAATTTTCTTTTTATCCAGTGCCGAGAAAACTATTTGTTTTTTTTGGATATAGACAAAAAAAAAAATTGTGAAAAAATGTGCACTTTAAAAAAAATATTAATACAATAATTGTAAGCAATAATGCAAAAAGTACTTACTTTTATTAAAAACAAATATTATTTTTAAAATCTATATGAAAATACACTTCTTTTGAGACCCATGTTGACATACATATATATTTTTTTGACAACCTAATGTGATACTTGGTGTAGTTAAGGCTTACAGATTTACAAATTGTTCGTATTCTTTTATTTAAAATTAGCATGATTTTATCAGTGTATTGTGCCCAAACAAGACCTTTAGATGTTTTAATTTTTTTTGCTTCAGATTTTTTTAATATTTAAAGAAACTTTTCTTTTTTATATATAATTTTCAAAACCTTTTTACTACCCCTAATGGTGAACCTAAAGAATATAATTTTAGAATCTTTAGATCAATTTCACTCATCAGCGTTATATTAACCATATATAGTTGTCAAAATACAATATTTCTATTAATATTGACAAAAAATACAAGAATTCCAACCAAGAAAAAGCTTTTAATTAAGAAAAATTTCCAATAAACAATCAGAGCAGATCATATTATTAAACTATGATGTTCATTTCACTTAAAAAACGTATTTATTTAAAATTTTATTTAAATTTGGACAAACATTTGTGATTTAAAGATTTTTTTTTTTTAAAAAAAAGAATTTTCAGTCTGGGTTTTTTTCTTGCTACAAACATTTATATTTTATAATACTGCAAAATTTCTCATTTTAATTTTTTTCGTCTTTTTATAATTCTCAGAATTGATTATTTAATGGAAATATGCTGCAGTCAATAAAATATCATACAGACACTATAATATTTCAAAATTGCCTAAACTATACAGAGTGGTGAAAAATGAGTTGCATATTTGAAATCATTTAAGAAATTAGTGTATTGTGGGTATTATTCTGTTAGATTAATGAAGAAAAAATGAGGCTGATTAGATCCAGCATAGGAGGTGAAGACAACCAGTAAGCTTGCATGCAATAAAAGTTGATTGGGGAAGATATAGTGTTAACAGGCTTATAAAGCATAACTTGGTTGACTACTCGAATGAGTACTACCCTCAGTTGTAGCAACCCATCAGCCTTGAGGTGAATAAGGTAAATAAAATAAGAAAAGATAGAGCAAATTAAACACAGATTATACATAATGTAAATTAATTCCAAATCAATTCAAGAGAAACAGTCAAACAAAAAAATGCTGTGAAATTCTGAAAAGTATTTTTGTTTTAATTAGTGCACTTCATTCGCTTTTGTAAACAGCATAAAAAGTTTAAATTAATTTAATGTCTTAAACTTTAAATTTTTGTGAAATTTTATTTTTTTAAATTTTAGAAAAGTACATTTAAATTTTAGAAATTTAAAGTTTGATTTTTCAAAAAAACACTTCTAATTCAGCAGATTGCATTTACTATTATATAAGTTTATTATTGAATAGTACTAGTTTTAAACAGGTTTTTTTAAATTTTAAATTTATATTGAAAATTTTTTAATTTAAATCAATAACTCACCCTTCATCTTCCAAGTCTTCTTGCAGCTCTAAGCATTTGACTTCAACTTGCCTTTTACGATCATGCTCTAAAATTTCTTTATTAGGTTTTTTAACCAATGATGATTCATAACCCCCTAACACATTACTATCATAACTGAAAGGCTTATTGTCTTTCTTGTCAGTTTTTACATGAGATAAGTTTCTTGTGACATAACCATTCGTTCCTGTCCCTCTGACAGTCGACACACCGATTCCGTTATACATCTCAAGTTATGTCATTAAAAAATTGGTCTTAAAAAACCTGTCTAAAATCAAACATAAAAATTTTTGTTTATCGCATACTTTACTCAAAGATAGAATAAAAATTTTCTAATCTCGTGTTAACAATTTATAAATGATATTTTAGCAGACTTTTTACCTGACAGCCTAGTAAAAACTTCCTTTGTACCATTAACTTATGGATATTTATTTAGATCTTATCTAAAGTAAAAGACTGTTAGGGTATTTATTAAACTTGAAAAAAAACAAAACAATATATACAAAATGAAATATTATTTTATATTTTTGAAAATTTAGTGAAACCACATATCAATTTAATTAGACTTCAACATAAAGAGTTTTAAATTGCTAAGATTTAGTAATTTTAGATTAAAATTATTTCTTCAGCCCAGGAAGAAGCGGTTTTAAATATAGCAGGTTTAATACTATAGTTAATTTTCAATACGGAAAACTAAGTTCAATTCATTATACAATATACATTCCTTAATAACAAAATCTAAGGTGCACAAGATTGTCGATAAACATTCTCTCTGACTACCGTACCATGTTGAAGTTCGCGTGCTTGTCTCGACGGCCTGTTGAAATAAAGGTAAATAAAAAATTGAAAAAACGAGGCCAATAGGGGAAATTTTTACGTAAAACGGAATGCCGCAGTATAAAAGCGAAAGGCATTGGAAAAATATCGAAAAGTACTTACTAACTCTTACAATTCTTAAAACTCTCACATCCATTTAATAGAAAACTTTTTTATTCTTATTTTATAACTACTTTTTTATTACAAGTAAACAATTTCCAACAATTACTGTTTTCAATTTTAGGAAAGTGGCAGATTAAGGGTTTTAGGGAAGGATACTTTGAGAACTTCGTTTAGACATACGACAACAAAAAGTGTACAACTATAAGTTAATGGTTGTGTGTGTATATATGTGTGTGTGTGTATATATGATGGATGAGTATTTAAGATAAATGTTGTTTTTAAAATGATGTTTAATGATGAGTTGTTCAGTTATGGAATACTTTATATTGGTTGAATACTTTATTTTAAAATTAAAAAAAAGCATTCTTTGTTTACTAAATAAAATAAGTAATAACATTCAAGGGGCAACGGCATGGGTCTCGAAGAAAGGGGGGGGGGCAAAATTGTTAATTTCTAAAAAAAGTTCTTTATATCTAGAAATTTCTTAAATTAAAAATAAAATAAGAAAAGGCCAATGTAAAAAAAGTGGGGGGAGAACTAGTGCTCCCTGAGTTCCCTCCCCCGTGTTGTCGGATCTGCATTAATAAAAAAACTTGCAGTAACTTTTTTTTTCATTCTGAAATTACGGGACTTTATTTTAAGCGGGCCTTAGGTAAGCCTAGTTTGCCTTATGGGTATTTTGGCAATATAAATTTGGCTTAATAGATGAAAATAGGGCTCATTAGATAACTTTGGTGTTTTGATTTTTTTTTATAAAACGTTTAACACATTTAACCGGTACAGCTGTTGTGTGATTCATTTGTTGGCCAAAACAAAAACTAAATATTCATTTCATGGATTTTCTTATTCATAAAAAAAGGTTTGGAGTCATTAAAATGACTTTTCCAGAATGTGGCTGTTTTTATATTGAAATTGATAAAGACATGGGGTTAGGTAATTGCAAAACACCCACTAGTATTGTAAATGAACCATTCCATTTCATGTTATAGAACTGATGAAAGATACGGTAAAAGGTGCAACTGATTTTATAAGATCATTTTATGAGAATGAATATCAAATTTCAATACGTCCACTTCGTGAAATTATTTCAGAGGAGAATCAAACGGCATATTTTATTTTGATTTCTTAAATGAATTATTGTTAAAAAAATGTTATTTATAAGGTAATATAAAAAAATTAATATTTTAGCTTTTTACTAACTATTAAAAACTATTAAAGACGTTTTACCGAGGAAATGCAGCCATAAAAAACCGTAATTAAAAAAGAAAGTCTATAATGTAAGTTACACTGGGGAACAATTTCAAACTTTTTTTCTTTTGAATTTGATTTTTATGCTAATTTTAACTAAAATTTGCTAATTTCAAACTTGCCATTAATTTTTTTCCGCACGTCAAGTTTTTTCCGTACCTATAAGTTAAAATTAAAAAAAGTGTAGCGAGTGGTGTTTATGGCTTGAAATTGGTCAGTGCAAATAATATATTTAAGTTTTATTTCAACGTGTTCTGTCTTTTTTTTACTTTTCTAAGGTTATAACTATTTCATCTTAGTGTTTTACTTACTTGCATAAATGTATAAATATATCACTTTATTTCAGATCATGTCTGCTCTGACGTCTTTACGTCGTAAATGTATAAACAACCCTGACTCCTTTTGCTATATTTTTTATTATATATTGGCGGCTGTTTTGTGATTCTAAATCAGAGGAAAACTATAAGTACATTTGTTAAATAGGCCTGTTTTGCATATTTTAAAGTAAAAATTGGTGATTAAGACAAGTCATGGGCCTCTCACAAAGTATGCATGCATGGTGTTAAGAGTTAACGCTTATAGGACGAAGGAAAACGTAAAAAGTTGGTTTTTAGTATTCCCATGGTTTAGCGAGAGCTAAAAGATTTTTGCACAGACAATTTTGTTTAGTGAAAACAACTTTATCTTATTTAACCAGAAAAATACAACAAAAAATAGAATAATCTAACCTATTTTAAACTATTACACCAATGCCTCATTCTATTAAAATTCCAGGGTCAGTTTTTGAACAACTACCTCATGCAGAAAACTTGAGTGATGTTGAAGAATGTAGTGACAGCAATGATATAGATTTTGAAATTCTTGAGCATATCATATTGGATTTGATCAGCATAAATTGAATGATTTGACACGTGATTTAGGCTTCTCAAAAAAAGCCACAGATTTCCTAGCAACAAGACTAAACCAAAAAGATACACTTTGAGGCAGAGCCTGAAGTGTATCTTTTCACACAATGGCAGTTTATATGGTACAGTTTTTATTGGACACTTGGTTATTCTTTGTGAGAAACATAAAGATGTAAAGATAGTCATGGCAACTAAGACTATGTCAACCTTTGAGTCAATGTCAATGCTTGGTTATCATTCAAAAATGTAGTCAAGAACTTTCTTGGAAGTAAATGTGCTAGTAATTTATGCGGTAGTGGTGTAGTGGTAGAGCGCTCGCTTCATAAACGAGTGGTTCCGAGTTCGATGCCTACCACGTCCCTGGTAGTACCGCGCTCAACTCGTTTCTCCGCGCAGCGGCCTTGTTCGTCAAGGTTCGTGTTTCGGAGTTATAGAGTTGAGAGAGGGTTATAGCCACAAAATAAGTAGCCTCCTCGTCTGTAGTGGCCTTCTCGGCCTTGAGGAGGTGAAGTAAAATAAAAGAAAAAAAAAAAAATTAATAATAATAATGTTAACTGTACAAATAAAAATATGTCACTCAACTGTAGTTGCGTGACTTTAATAGTAAAATGAAAAATACTAATGCAATTTGTGATATAACAAAATAATAACAATCCAATTTTTATTTAAAATAGCCCTTCTCATGTTCCTCGAGTTTATTTTTAAATGTATTTAAATTAACAGAGTTAACAACGCCATAGGTTAGACTGTTCCATTTATTAACAATTTTATTAGTAAAGTAATGCGTTCTTGCTTCTGAAATAGACTGTAAATCTAAAAGGTTCTTCGCGATTCTTTGCCGGTTTTTTAAAGAACCTAAAGGTTCTTGGAGAAAATTTAAGGTTCCTTAAAGAACCAATGGTTTCCTAATATTCTCTAAAGGTGAGTTTCCAGTCATCCTATTTTCTACGGGAACGGGATAGGAAAGGGAAAAATAATCATGTGAGCATGCGTAGTTTTACTTCGGATAAATTGAAACTTATAATACGCATGCCCACGTGATTATTTTTTCCGTTCCCGTGAAAAAACAGATGAGTGGAAACTCACCTTGATGGTTCTCTGAAGAACCGGCGGCTTATTATCAAAGCAATTCAAAGAACCCGTAAGGTTCTTCAAATCGTTTTACGGAAAACCTCGAAGAACCTTAATTTAGGGATCTTTAAACATTTTGTGAATGCCATTTAATTTTTCTAATCGGTCGTTATATAGGTAGACCAGTTTGAATTTATAAAGAATGGTATAATAACAACAAAAAATGAATATCATGATAGTATTTAATTTGTGCTTTAAACATTTGAGTTGTTTTTATTACTGTTGTTAATATCAACAGCGATTATTAAAGCAACGTGTTTTTTTTTTTTCGAGCAATTTTCTTATTCCTTTATGCTTTTATCGTGCATATTATAAATAAATATATCATTGTATATTGCGAATGGTTTTATTTAGATAAATAAATATATCATTCGTTAAAATTTAAAAAATGGCAGATTGTTTAAACTGGAGTGTATAAGATGTTTGTGTATACTTAGAACTTAAAGGACTCCCAGAACTTAAACAAAAAGTTATTGGTTAGATTGAAGTTTCTATTTATTTTCAATTATATAAGTGTTCGGACACTATATATATATATATATATATATATATATATATATATATATATATATATATATATATATATATATATATATATATATATATATATATATATATATATATATATATATATATTTATATATATATTATATATATAAAGTATATATATATATATATATATATATATATATATATATATATATAATATATATATATATATATATATTATATATATAAAGTGCCAGTCAGTAAAAGTTCAGTTAAATTCTAAAGTTTTAACAATTCTAAAGATAAACAGGCTAAAGGAACACCGCTACCTAAAAGGCTTTATAAAAAACAAACTGGGTGATCACCCAGTTTTTTTTTATAAAATCTTTTAGGTAGCGGTGTTCCTTTAGCCTGTTTATCTTTAGAATTGTTAAAACTTTAGAATTTAACTGAACTTCTACTGACTGGCAAAATTTCAATATTTAAATATTGAAATTTTCTGCTTTACTCTATAACGCAGTGAATAGCTAGTTAAAAAAAATTCTAGAAACAGTTATTAAGTATACCTCAAAAAGGTTGAATGATTGTATTATTCTTGCTAGAGTATTTTGGCAAAAGTTAGCCTTAGGACTTCAAAAAAGAGAAAAGTATTATGTGTTTGGTTGATGATGGAATATGATTAGTATTAACTTTCTAATTAAGTTGTTGCAGTTGGAAAGCTTTGGAAAAAATCCATTTAATTTCAACAGTAGATGTATACTTAATTATTTAAACCATATAAAAAATGAAGCTTCCCATAGTTTTAAAATATTTTGGAGAATTATTG